CTATTCCAACGCACAGCTGCGCATGTGCATCCGGGCAGAAGTGCCCTCGTTCGGCTTCTCCAGGGCTGATTCTTCTGAAGGCGGTCACCTGGCCTTCCTTTCAAGGCACCTCAAACCTTCGGGCGAGCAGGCAGTGCCCTCCAGGGATTCCTCCCAAAGGTGCGTGTCTGAGCCAGAGTCTCTTCCTGGCCAGTTCAGATTCCATCTTCTACCCTCCAGGACGCCTGTCCTGACTGCTCCCTGCACAGCGAGTGGACTGTCCTGTGTGGGGGCAGTCATTGTGGGGGCCGCTCTTCCTTGCCTCACTTTGCATCCTAGTTTAAACAGTTTTATCTCACTCAACTTTACATGCCAAACAGAAGGGCCACGCTGTCATCTGTGGCAGTTACATAATCGACTGTCAACTTAAGAAAGGGGGAGGAGTCTAGTCTGTCAATCAGGTCGCAGCCTGATGACCTCACTTGGAGACTCCACAGACACACTCTCCTGTGAGGTGTTCCTGCTGACAAGCCACATGAAGCTACACTGATGGAGCCAGAGCCCTGGAGCTGGAGGAGCCACGTGGAGACCCATGCCACTGCCGAGATGCATCCACCGCCACTGGATCCACAAGACTTCTCACCCACTGGCCTGTGATCTTCCTGCATTTGGCATCATTGCATGTGTTAACCTGAGTCTGAAGAGGAATTTATGGATTAGTATCAGAGATATGGGCTAATATCAGACTTATGGACTTGATCTAGACTGGGCTGGGATGTTTTCTCAATATATAATTATTCTTTGATATGACGTTCTCTATTACACACATATGAGTGTCCCTGTCAACCCAGACTAACACATCATCATACTTGTATTCCCCTTTGCATAGTGCCTGGAAGGGAGCTACACATACATGGTAGTGTCTCAGTAAGTGAATGAATGAAAGGGCAAGGACCAGATGGGAAGGCGTGTGTGTGTGTGTGTGTGTGTGTGTGTGTGTGTGTGTGTGTGTGAGAGAGAGAGAGAGGGGGGGCGTTACTGCTGAAAGAAAGGAAAAGATGAGAAAAGAGCTGGGTGGGGAGAAAACTCAGAAAACAGTGTAACTATCAACAAGTGTTATCCACCGCCCATCGCAGTCCAGTCCATTACAACTCAGAATGACCCTACAGGGCAGAGTAGAACGGAATCTTTTCAGAAGGAGCAGAGTGGTTTTGCATTGGGCTGCTAACTGCAAGATCAGAAGTTCAAAACCATTAGCTGCTCGGTGACAGAAAAATGGGGTTTTTCGATTCCCGTAAAGAGTTGCAGTCTCAGAAGCTCACAGAGGCTGTTCCCCCCTGTCTTACAGGGCCTCTAGGAGCCGGAACTGACACACTAGCAGTGAGTTTGGCTTTTTCATTGCATCTTTATCGAAGCCGATGACCCCGTCGGTCTCCCATGGAGTCGATTCCAACCATGGGCCTTTTGGTATCAGGCGAGTGCTTAACCACTGCACCACTAGGGCTCCTTCGGAGTGACTACAGTAAGTGCTAATAATTACGGTGTGTTTACCATGCTCAGGTCTGCCAGCTAAGGGCTTCGTGTGTGTGGCCCGACATCGTACTGACAAGGACTATTATCCGTGAGAGAGCACGAGGCCAAAACTCAGGCCCAAAGTCACATGTAGACAAGTCACAATGTCAGGACCCAGCACAGGTGGCCTAAGGACACACAAGTCTGTGTTGGAAGAAGTCCAGCCAGGGTGCTCCTTAGAGGCAAGGATGGAGAGACTCTGTCTCACTTATTGGGACGCGTTGGCAGGAGAGACCAGTCCCTGGAGAAGGACAGCACACTTGGTGAAGCAGGAGGTGAAGCAGCGAAAAAGAGGAAGCCCTGGAGGAGATGACCGGACATGGTGGCTGCCACCATGGGCCCAACCATAGGAAGGTTTGTGAGGATGGGACAGGACCAGGGCAGGGTCGTGCACAGGGTCGCCATGGATCAGAACAACAACAGCACAGGTGGCCTGGCCTGGAGAACCCAGACTCTTCATGGCTGATCCCCACACTAGCCGGCCCCACCCTGTGGTAGATACATATTCGCTTGTCAATTTGAGGATTAAGAGTGGAGGGGTGGAATCTAACTTGTCAATCAGATCATAGCCAATGAGGCCTCTGTGTGGGCATGGCCTTCCCCTGAGGATTGTGGGAAATGTGGCACTCCTCCTTGGAGGTGGGAGACACTGTCTCTCTCTGCCATACCCTGGGAGACGTAGCAGCTGACAAGACACATGAACCCACCCTCATGCAGAGACCCCTGCCAGGGCTGAGATGTTTCCAATGGCACTGGATCCAAAGCCTTTCTAACCACTGGCCTGTGATCTTCTGCATTTGGTGTCATTGCAAGTGTTTCGTGAGTCTGAAGAGGACTGTATAGATGGCTAGTATCGGACTTATGGACTTGATCTGGACTGGGCTGGAATGTTTTCTCAATATTCAACTGCTCTTGTATATAAATCTCTTTCTTATACACATATGTGTGTCCATGGATTTGTTTCTCTAGTCTACCCAGACTAACACACACCCCATTCCCTTTCTGGGTTTTCCCACAGCTTCTGGACCTCTCTCTCTCTCTCTCTGGACATCTCTCTTGAGGCCTTTGGCAGACTTGCCCCTTTGTAAACTGGATCATTTGAAATGATTAGACCAACCACTGTCTTCACTACAGGCCGGAAGCCCCAAGAAGGCAGCTACATCCCTTTGACACATCCCTGGTTCTTAGTAGCACATAGTAGTTCCTCAATAAACCTGTGCTTGTGAACTGACTGACTGGCTCCTGCTGCCGTGGCTCGCTTGCCGTCAAGTGGATCTCAGCTCCTGCAGCTGCCACAAGTGCAGACGGTAAGTGGACTGTCCTTCTAAATTTCGTCTGTTTTGCGTGAAGCTGGAGGGCCGCTAAGACTCCCCGATCTGTGAGCTGCTACAGGGAGGCTTCCACAGGGCTTCCAAGGCTGTGACCCTTCAGATGCTGATTGTCAGGCGTGTCTTTCAAGGCACCGCTGGGTGGGTTTGAACTGCCAACCTTTAGGTTAGCAGTTGAGTGAACCTAAAGCTTAACCGTTTGGGCCCCCGGGGACTCCCAATCAACAGATTCCCGCTTCTTAAAAAGGACCATCCCAGGATTCTCTAAGGCCTTCTTCCACCCTCCCACTTTGCCCTGAAGTCCACTCCCGCCAGCCAGCACTTTGCCCCTTCCTCAGCCTTAGCCTACAGCAGGACCGGGGGCATTAAATGCCGGCCGAGTGTTTAGTCCCAGACGATCCCTGAACTCAGCAAATGCTGATCAAGTGACCATATCTCTCTGGCTTAGCTGGAAAGACGCCAGGAAAGATCGAAGCATCTACCCTGATGGGTTACACCAGGGCTTCTCGAAGGGATTTTGTGGCAGGAGGGAGGGGCGGCAGATCGAATGTCTCCGTGGCTGTGCAGGGCAGCATGATGGATGAGCCGTGGAAAGCCCTGCCGTGAACCGTGCCAGACCTGTTGCAACAGGATCTCTCCCAACCGCCTGGAATTATGTTTCCCTGAAGACACCCTGGATGGTTCTCTGGATTTAGATGTGGGCTCCTCTTCTGTGCTCCCAGAGGGGAAGTTTCTGAGAACAGAGGGAGACCTGAACCCTTCTCTCAAAAGTCCTGCTGCGCCTTGTCTCAACAGCCCTTTCAGTGTCCTGACTTCTGTCCATCACAACCTCAACAGCCTGTCAGTCCTCAGTGGGGTTACCCACTCACCCAGAACCCACTGCCTTAACGGCAACCTCATGGTGACCCGATAAACCAAACCCAACCCCACTGCCATCCGGTTGATTCCTAGTCACAGCGACCCTGTATGTAGGGGATTTCTGAGGCTGTACGTCATCATGGGAGCTGACAGTCTCATCTTTTCCCCTTGGGGCTGCTGGGTTTGAACTGCCTATCTTGCAGTTAGCACCCAATGCTTACCCCAGGGCTCCACGTATGGTACACCAACACGAAACCCAGACTCACTACCACTGTCCACTCCGACTCATAGCAACCCCATAGGATGCGGTAGAATTTCCCCTGTGACTCTTTGTGGGAGTAGAAAGCCTCGTCTTGGTTTCAAACTGCTAACCTTGTGGTTAGCAGCCCAATGCATAACCACTATGCCGCCACCAGGGGAAACAAAAACCAAGCTCCAAACTCATTGCCACTCACAGGGACCCTATAGGACAGAAGAGAACTGCCCCTGTAACTCCACGGTATCAGAAAGCCTCATCTCTTTCCTGAGGGGCGGCCAGTGGTTTTGAACTGCTGACTGTGATTAGCAGCCCAACTCGTAACCACGACCCGACCAAGGCTGAGGGTTTATTAATTCTCCCTCTCTCCCCACTCTCCCTCTCCCTCCTTCTCTTTCAAGAAATGGTCAAAGTCATCTGGGGTCCCTGACACTCAGCCCAAGAGGCACCAGCCCCTCCCCTTGAGCTGAGGGCTCTTTCCTGAGGCTGTAAACACCCGTGAACCCGGAGCACATCACCAAAAAAAGAAGCCAATGACCCTCGCAATGCCCACAGCAACCTCCGTGGGGAGAGGGAGATGGGGAGTCAGCACTTGAATACGTGGGTGCTGTGCCCCCCCCACCCCGCACTCCCGGGCTGGCCTGGTCCTCCCTGAGCCCAGGCTGCCTGCCCCCTGGGTCTCGGATCCACTTCGGCCAGCCTTTCTACATTTTTGTATCTTTTTCTCATTGCGTGGCCCCTTGTCTTTAAAAGGCTAAACGCTCCGTACTAAATTTGGTCACGCAGCGCTCCAAGATTCCCTGGAATGTCCTCAAGTTTCAAGCAGCTCTGACAGCCAGGCCGGCCCGCCCCCAGCGCGGGCATTGGCCTCTCCTCCCGGGGCCCCGGCGGCGGCAGGGCTCATTGGCCAGGGGGTGGACCAGCAGCAGGACTGCCCTGGGCTGCAGGAGGCAGCAGCCTCCGGACACTTCAGCACCTGTGGCACGCAGCGGGCCAGGGCGCTGCAGTCCTCCACCCAGCTCCGCTCGCCCCTCTCCCGGCAGCCGGCCACTCTCTCAGAGCCCTCCTGCAAAAGGCCCTGTCCACTCTGCCAAGATGTCCAAGGTTGCCAAGTACCGCCGCCAGGTGAGCGAGGACCCCGATATCGACAGTCTGCTGTCCACCTTGTCCCCGGAGGAGGTGGAGGAGCTGGAGAAAGAGCTGGACCTGGCAGACCCGGACAGGAGCGTTCCCGTGGGGCTGCGCCAGAGAAACCAGATGGACAAGCCGCCCACGGGCGTGTACAACCGAGAAGCCATGCTCAACTTCTGTGGGAAGGAGACCAAGAAGCTCCTGCAGAGGGAGATGTCTGTGGATGTGAGTGAGAGCAGGGCCGGGGGAGGTTGTGACTCAGTGGCCGGGGGTGGGGGGATGGCTTCTTTGCAGAGATAAAAATCTCTTGTTGGCAAGGGCCTGGATTCTTCAAAACCCATGGTCTCCTGATTTGGGTCTTAGAAGCAGAATGCTGGGGACTCTGGAGAAACGCAAAACATTGCACAGTATCAGACTGGGACCAGAGGAGGGGCCCTTGACGTCGCCTAGTCATGTTCATTGCATCCTGGGTGTGCAGCACCTTTTATTCACCCCCCTCCCTCTCCCCTCTTCCACCTACCCCCCGCCCCCCACCCCCGCCCCTGACAGCCAGCCCATCCTCTTCCAAGGCGGGGCTGAGCATCGAACAAAGCTGGCCCGCTCCTCCCAGCCACTCACTGGGGATGACACAGCTAACCCTCCTGGGAGAGACCCTCCTTCGTTTAGCGCTGGGGCCCTGTGGGTATCTCACTGTGTGGACCCTTTGGGGGGCTCAGTGGGTTGCCCAGAGCCGGAGGGCTTCACTGTTCCTCCTGGGGGGAATGGAAACTGCCCTCTCTAGAATGGCCTCTGGAGGGAGCACTCCTCTTCTGGTCTCACTGGCTGCCCTCAAGAGCATCCTGACCCTTTGGGACAGAGTAGAACTGCTCCCGTGGGTTTCTGCTCCAGTCAATCTTTACCGGAGCAGAAAGCCTCATCTTTCTCCCACGGAACAGCTGGTGGTTTCGAACTGCTGATCTTGAGGTTACCAGTTCAACGCTAAACCCGCAAAACTCCCAGGGCCCCTTCCTCTCTTTGGTACTAAGGGCTTTTCCTTCGGCCGCAACTCTACTTTGCTGGGAAGTGAAGGTGTTTCCCAGCTGTGGCTTGCCACCAGGAATGGGGACTGTGGGCAAGAAGTGACTGGGAGCTCCTGTCCACCTCTAGAGGTGGCTTTCTGTTTTCCTGGGGGGCGGGGTGGCATGGAGGAATTCTCGGTTGGCATGTGAGTCTTCTTTGGATGGGCTAGACTCACCTCTCAGGGGAGGAGCCCTTTGCTGGTGGCAAAGAGTGCTTAGGGGTCAGACGCTGCTCAGGCTTTGCAGGGGTCCTCTGCTAAGCAGACACCCGACTGACCACAAAAACCTCATGTGGGCCGGAAGAGAACTGTGCTCCCTGGAGTTCTTGGCAGCTGATTTCTCAGAAATCTCAGATTTCTCAGATCACCAGGGCTTTCCTCTGAGGCACCTGTGAGTGGGGTTGGACCTCCAGCCTTCCGCTTCGCCACCAAGTAGGCTAACTGTTGGCACCACCCAGGGACTCCCGCAGGCTTCCACTCAGCATTGCGGCCTGCATCTGTACCTACCGGTGCTTGGTGCTCGCCCAGAAAACCTGAGTCCCAAGCCTTGTCCTTCATTTTCCTTTACTTTCTCACTCCTGGGGAAAATGAGTGGGCGGAGTACACCAGAAAACGCAAAGGCCCAGGGTTGGGAGAGACCACCAACAGCTCAGAGGTTCTGGTGACAGTTCACGCTCCCACAGGGAAAGGGGACGGTGGTCACCTGATGCTGCAGGGACATGTCTGGCTGGGTTACAGAGCGCCTGCATGGAGTGTGGGAGAGAAGACCTCCCCTCTCTAGAAAGAAGTGGGGGTGGGGTGGGGTGTTGGGTTGGGGGGCCAGGAGTAAGGGAACCTGGAGGCTCAGGGACTTACTCTCCTTTGGGCGAGTCCTGCTGCCTTGCTCCTGTGTGGGCCTGGTACCTCCAGAGAAGGACCAGGCAGCACACAGAAAGCGTGGAATGCCACCACAGGGCACTGGCCTCTCTGCAATTCCCCCCCTGGGGCCCCATGCTTTCCCTCTGAAGTGCCTACTCCTGTCCCCTCACTTCTGGTCCCCAGGCTTTGTGGCCAGGCCTGCTGGGTGCCCGGGGGCTTTTGGTGCTCAGAAAGAGACCCTTCTGAGGCTGATGTCACACTTGCCACAAAACGAGATGCTCAAGCCACAGGGAGTGAGAGGCACCCTAGTGCCCCTAGGGATTTCATTCTCAGGAGCCTTTTGCTTAACCAAGTGAGGGGACCAGGCAGGCCTCTCTCTCCTCCCCTGTGTGCCACCCCCACCCTGCCAGGTCCACACTGGTTTCTGCAGAGCCTAAGTCAGCCACAGCATGTGGTGTGTGTGTGTGTGTGCGTGTGTGCGTGCAGAAGTGTGCATCGTGGCTACAAGAAAATGCCTTTATCACCACTTCCCGCTGATGAGACTAGGCTGTTTAGACTGACTCAACCTTTACCCCACAGTCCAAGGGCACAGGTTGACAAAATGGTCAGAGTTCAAAGTGCATACAAAGCTGTGAAACGGTGGCACCTCTGTAAGCCTGGGCGAATGGGAATTGAAGCAAAGAAATGCCTGGTGTCACACGACAGGCAATGCAGCGAGACGCAGTGAAGAATCTGAGCTTAAGAATCAGAAAACCCTCGTCTGGGGGCCCGCACGTCTTGTTGTCCGTGTGCCTGGGTCTGTCTCCCCATCTCGCAGAAGGAGGATAACATCCCCTAGGATTGTGTGGGCACACTAAAAGAAGTCACGAGGTAACGTCCTTAGCACAGGGCTTGCGTGTGATCAGCGCTCCGTGAATGGCAGCGTTGATCAGGAAATCCTTGAGTCAAGGCACCCAGAGGCGGGGAAGTGAATGAGAGCAAACCTTTACTCCCACCCAGCTTCTCCCTCACTTACTCACTGGGAGGGGTGTCAGCTCGTCTGTGCAGTTAGTGGCCAGAGAAGCAAGCTGAACTTGGATGCTTAGGGTAGGAATTTTGGACCCCACAGAAACAGAACAGGCTGTGAGAGCAGCAGTAGGCGGCGGGAGGGGGGGTGGGCAGGAGGGGCTCTCTTCCCTTTCCCCAAAATCCCCCTCTCAGCGCCTGGCTGAGTGCTGTCAGTGACGGGGTCTTCTTCTACAAGGGAGGAACTGGAGATGAATCAAAGCAGACAGCCAAGAGCCTGTTCTCTCTCCCTGGGGGAAGGGCAGCCAGAACTTTCTGTATGCCAAGCCCACCCGCTTCGCCCTTTATTGAAGCCCCACAATTCCCTGGAGACAGGCATTTGCATCCCCATTATACAGACTTGGTGATGGAGGCTCAGACAGGCTGGATAACTGCTCTGGGTCGCACAGCTACCAGGTGGCTTGTCTGATTTCCAGAGCCCCATGTCCTCCTCTTTGCAGCACTAGAGGACAAAAAGGCCAGTGGTGTCCGCTCCTGCCCTCCAGAGTGTAAAATCTTCTCGAAGTTGCAAAACACATCCAGGGGAGCCACCCAAGGGGTGTCACCAAGGTGCACCCACATATTCTGGCGCTGTCACGGGAGCAGCTGCTTTAATCCCATCCCCATGGCCATCAGTTGGGCTGACTCCTAGCGACCCACGGGCGGTGGAGTAGAAGCGAACTCCTCGGATGAAAGGCTGGTTTTTGTTTTCTCGGAAGTAGATTGCCAGGCCTTTCTCCTGAGGTGCTTCCGGGGGGCCTCCGACAGTCACACTTTCTGTTAGAGCCAATCATGCTAACTGCTGGCACCACCCAGGGACTCTGGGTCTAACCCAGTTGGGCTCCTGACGCCGCGTGGGCACTCCCTGCCCCCAACCTCCCCTGAGTAGGACCATATCTATTAAAACCTAGTGTGGATTCAGGAAAGTCAATCCTGCCGCAACCTTGGGTAGCGTTCAAAACCAGCCAGACTCACTGCCATAAGCTGATGCCACTCAGAGCGACCCTTTGGGAGAGGGCAGAACTGCCCCTGTGAGTTTCCCAGGCTCTTTACGGGAGCAGAAATCCCCACTGCTGACCCCGTAGTTAGCACCCCAACGCACAACCACCAGTTCCTTATCGGATGACATTAGGGAATTATTATCATTTCTTTTAGGTGTGATCATGGTTATTTCAGATTTTTTTTTTTAAAGAACGTCATTGTAGACATAGAGACTGGAATATTTATGAAGTGGGAAGAATGATAGGATGTGGGGGATTCGCTTTAAGATATTTGGGGTGAGGGGAGTGGGTGGAGTATAGACAAAACAAGACTGACCACACGCTGGAAGTTGTTGAAACTTGTGGGTCGATGCCGGGACTCGGGACTCGTTACACCAGTTCTCTCGTCATTTGCGTCCACGTGTGAAACATCCCATACTAAACAGCCTTTACAAAATAAAAGCCAAGGAGGTAGACCCAGTTTGGGTCTCAAGCCCTAGCCCTCCTGGGAGAGGGAAGCCCAAGATTTACACTGGGGTGACCATGCAAGATGGGTTTCGATGGCGGCAGGGGCCGCCGGCTGCTTCTCCTCCAGCAGGGTGGACGGTGCCAGGGTGCGGGGAGTGCCTGCTGGCATGGCCTCTGAGCCCTTTCACCCTCACACCTCTTGTGGTTCACTCCTGTCTGGCCTTCGGGACTCTGGGCCACTTCCTCTGGGAAGTCTTAAGGTTCCGTCTCTGTCTGAGCACTCCACCCACGCTGGGTACCAACCCCATGGCTACGACCCTGCTGTAACCACCTGTCTTCTTTCTCACCCATGGGATTCTGGAGGGTAAATGGGTCGTGGATCCCCAACCTATGTTTGTTGCATGAACATCAGCAGCAGGAGAGTCAGAGTGAGGCAGGAGGCGGGCAGGCCTCCCCCTCTCTCAGCGCTGCTCCTCCAGCCCAGCTGGAAGACAGAGCCCCTGGCAAGTGTATAGCCAACCATTCAATGAAACCCTTGTCTCTGGGTCAGGTTTCAGGAACCGGATCCCAACGGGTCAACTCCTGCGTTCTCTCTTTCCTTCCCAGGTGGGAAAGAGAATCTCCAGTCTACCTCCCCCATCTTGTTCCTTCGCATGACCATGGGCTGGGAATTAGCACCTGCACCCAGCCAGGGGCAGGGGCAGCTGAGGGGCGGGGGAAGGGGTTGGGGGTGGCAGTTTTAGGTTCTCCCTTGAGGTAAACTTGAGATGCACACCGGGTGCACTGATCAGCTAGTAGCTGGGGATGGACCCTTTCGG